CATCTGAAGGTGCATTTAATTGTACAGTAGTTTTAAACAAAAGTTATTGTGCCTACATTGCAGTCAGCTTTCACACATCGGAGGTTGTGAATGCTCCATCCCTGGCAGTGTTCAAGACCAGGCTGGATGAGGCCTTGGGTGATACGGTTTAGTGTGAGGCGTCCCTGCCCATGGCACGGGGGTTGGAACTAGATGATCTTAAGGTCCTTTCCAACCCTAACTATTCTACGATTCTATGACAGTGAAGTGGAGCAGACTGGACATAAGCATTAGCTATGTTCTGCATGTGGCTGATTGGAGGAGCAGAAGAAGTCATTAGAAAAATGTTGCAGCATCCTCTGCAGATTTCCAAAGTTGTTCTGTGTCACGTATGTGGTTTTGTAATAGTACCCAGATGATGAGTGATGCACTGGTCAGTATCTGGGTGTCTTTCAGTGTGGCCCTATAGGCTGCAAGGAACAAGCTGCTGCTTTGTTTTGGCAGCACGTGATGCTGAGTGGAATTGCTTCTAGCTCAAAAAAAGTGTAATTTGTGCTGTTTCTATTTCTCTGTATTAATCAGTACAAAATTATCTCAGTAGAAGCAAACCTGTACATCCTGTGGTGGAGAGAAGGAAGCACTCCATCTAACTGTAAACTCAGTAAAAAGAAAATCAAGTAATTTTTGTGGTGCCCCACAAGTAGTTCTGTTTGCCATATTTGTGGCTGTTACAGATGCACTAAGTCTTAAAAACATGAGAGGAACAGTAGAGGAGTATGCAACCGTTATCATTGGGCATAATGTTTACATACACATGGCTGGTAACAGATTTTGGGTTTGTTTATGGGGTTTGTTGCTGTTTTTTTTTATGTTAGACTATTCATAAGCACATTTTATGTTATGTTAGACCATTCAATAAGCACTGACATTGCCCTAGAGTTTTCTACCTGATACTTTTAAGAAAGAAGTATTTAAAACCAAAATGGAGCACAACTAAAAGATGAGACAGATAGAAATCTGTGGCATTCTAAACCAAGTTTACGAGCCAGTTGCAGGAGTTGTGCAACCAGTCACTTGCTGTAGACCTCTGTGGCATCTCTACTGTTGGACAGAGAATGGCCTCACGTTCTTGCCTCTTCTTCACGGGTCAGTAATTAGATCAGACTTTTTTTACAGTCATCAGCCAACACAACACACCCTTCTGGTATGCTTCATTAAATTGGCCATCAGGATTAAAACTGTTCAGGGGAAGGGAAGGAACAGCAGCCACTTGCAGCAGGTATGCCCAACATAGGAGATCAGGTTGGCATTGTAGACTAAATTAACATAATCATTCCTATAAATAGAAACACAGTCACAATCATCTGAAAATGCAGATCCTTTACTTCACTTATTTTCAATAGACAGCCTCTTGTCTTCTGTGCTTTTCATCACACCTGCAGGTATGGTACTCAGGAGTAAGAGAAAATCATTAATTCTTTCCTTGAAAGGCTCAACTTTGAAAAAGCCTGTGTTCCCCTACAATGACCTCCTTTCTGCCTTATGATACTCTGCAGGAAGAGAAAATCAGCAACTCTTTCCTTGAAAGGCTTGAATTTGAAAACTGGAGTTCCCCTACAGTGACCTTTTGCTGCTTTACTCCCGTCTCCCTTTCATTATCTCTCTTCTTATGGGGCTTGAAGAAAAAGTGCATACACCGTAAGCTAGGGAAAAGCTCTGTGACTATACAGTTCACAGGTGGAGTTTAAGGAAGGTGAGCTAAGGGACACTGAATCTGTAATTTCTTAAGTGTTCTACATGTTTGTGCAATACAGAGCTGGCAGGGCCTTCCTGGACTCCCCAGAGACCAAACTCATAAAGGCTTTGTAGCAAAAGAAAGTAATTGCAGCAAGTATGCTGGCAGATGAAGGACAATCCCAAGATGTTTTTCAAACCGCAGCTGAGGAAACTGTGTCAAGGAAGTGTGACAGCAGGGAAGATGCCTGCATGAGCTCATCAGCTTCATGCTGTACTACCTGTGGAAGTCCTGTGTGAGACACTGAATTTGGAGGGCTAGGATTTGCCCCAGCCCTGCTTTACTCATTGTTCTGGACCCACGCCTTGAACAGGAAAGGTGTTTGTCAGGTGAATTAAGACCTCTGTTGAAGGCCTGTGACCTGGTCCATTGACTTTGTTTTTCTTGCTCAGCTCCCAGCCTGTTCTTGTTGAACGACAGTTTTAGTTTGGATAATCCAGTATATGGAGTTGCTTGTCATGTCTGCAGAGGTGTGTCATGGAAGCTGAAATCTTCTCTGGAAGAGCAGAAAAGCATGATGAGGAGTCATGGCGAGGGTAAGGGGGTTAGAGTAAATTGCTATATTAGGAGCACTGATGCAAATGGGGAATAACAACTATGCAGTAGCTGTTTTTTGACAGCTGCGATTTAAGATGTACCAGCTGTAACTGGAACAGAGCAAAGGTTTGAGGAATCACACTGTCTTTTTTTATTTTACATATTTTTTTTTTGTGGGTTTCTTTTTACTGAATCAATTAGAGAGAGTTTGGTGTTTGTTCTTTTAAGGACATGCCAACTGAAAAACCTCAAGGTAAACTGTAAAGTCTAGTGGCTTGAAAGAGGTATGTTCTCCGAAGACCTTGCATTCCTCTTCTACTCTTCCTTAGCCATACTAGACTTGCAGCTTCCTGTAGTGGAGTCATGCCTTACTGAAGACTCCTCACTCACTGTCGACCGTCATATCCTCAGCACAGTGAGAAGAGCACGCAGCAAGCTCACTGCCCTGGACTTCAAGAGAGCAGACTTTGGCCTCTTCAGGAACCTGCTTAGTAAGGTTCCGTGGGATACAGCCCTAGAGGGTAGGGGTGTTGTGTCCCAGCTAGAAGGAAGTGCAGCAGGAGGGCCAGGAGACCTCCTTGGATGGATAAGGAGCTGCTGAGGAAACTTTGAAGGAAAAAAGAGGCTTATAAAAGGTGGAAGCAAGGACAGGTGGCCTGGGAAGAGTACAGGGATGTTGTCTGGGAAGCTAGGGACCAGGTGAGGAAAGCTAAGGCCCAGTTAGAATTAAACTTGGCTAGGGATGTGAAAGATAACAGGAAGGGATTCTGTAGGTACATAGCGTATAAAAGATAGACTAGGGACAAAGTGGGCCCTCTCTGGAAGCTATCAGGAGACCTGGCTACCCTGGATTTGGAGAAGGCTGAGGTTCTTAATGACTTTGCCTCAATCTTCACTGGCAAATGCTCCGACCACACCACCCAGGTCTTGGAAGGCAGATGCAGGGACTGTGAGAATGAAGACTTTAGGTCTACTGTAGGAGAGGATCTGGTTCGAGACCATCTTAAGAACCTGAACGTGCACAAGTCCATGGGACCTGATGAAATCCATCTGTGGGTCCTGAAGGAGCTGGCGAATGAAGTTGCTAAGCCACTGTCCATCATATTTGAAAAATCATGGCAGTCAGGTGAAGTTTCTGATGACTGGAAAAAGGGAAATGTAACCCCCATTTTCAGGAAGGGGAAAATGGATGACCCAGGGAATTACAGACCAGTCAGTCTCACCTCTGTGCCTGGCAAAATCTTGGAGCAGATTCTCCTGGAAGGTATGCTGAGGCATGGTGCTTGGTGACAGCCAGCATGGTTTCGCTAAGGGGAAATCCTGCCTGACCAATTTGGTGGCCTTCTATGAGGGGGCTACAGAACTGATGGACAGTGGTAGAGCAGTTGATGTCATCTACCTGGACTTGTGCAAAGCATTCGACACTGTCCCACATGACATCCTTGTCTCTAAATTGGAGAGACATCAATTTGATAGGTGGACCACTTGGTGGATAAAGAACTGGCTGGATGGCCGCATGCAAACAGTTGTGGTCAATTGCTCAATGTCCGGCTGGAGACCAGTAACGAGTGGTGTCCCTCAGGGATCGGTGTTGGGACCGGTCTTGTTTAGCATCTTTGTCAGTGACACGGACAGTGGGATTGAGTGCACCCTCAGCAAGCTTGCCGATGACACCAAGCTGTGTGGTTCGGTTGATACACTGGAGAGAAGGAATGCCATCCAGAGGGACCTTGACACGCTTGTGAGGTGGGCTGATGCCAACCTCATGAAGTTTAGCAAGGTCCTATACCTGGGTCGGAGCAATCCCAGGCACAGCTACAGGTTGGGCAGAGTAGAGATTCAGAGCAGCCCTGTGGAGAAGGACTTGGGAGTGCTGGTCAATCAGAAACTTAACATGAGTCAGCTTCAGTGTGCGCTTGCAGCCCAGAAAGCCAACCGTATCCTGGGCTGCATCAAAAGGAGTGTGACCAGCAGGTCAAAGGAGGTGATCCTGACCCTCTGCTCTTGTGAGACCTCACTTGGAGTATTGTGAACAACTCTGGTGTCCTCGACATAAAAAGGACATGGAACTGTTGGAGCAAGTCCAGAGGAGGGCCACGAGGATGATCAAGGGACTGGAGCACCTTCCATATGAAGATAGGCTGAGAAAGTTGGCTCTGTTCAGCCTGGGGAAGAGAAGGCTGCGTGGAGACCTCATAGCAGCCTTTCAGTGTCTGAAGGGGCACTATAGGGATGCTGGGGGTGGACTCTTGCTTAGGGACTGTACTGATAGGACAAGAGGTAGCGGGTTAAATCTTAAACAGGGGCAGTTTAGATTGGATATAAGGAAGAAGTTCTTTACTGTAAGGATGGTGAGGCACTAGAATGGGTTGCCCAGGGAAGTTGTGAATGCTCCATCCCTGGCAGTGTTCAAGGCCAGGTTGGAGAGAGCCTTGGGTGACATGGTTTAGTGTGAGGGGGGGTTGGAACTTGATGATCTTAAGGTCCTTTTCAGCCCTAACTGTTCTGTGATTCTGTGCAAAACCCTGAAGATGCGATGCTTTGGTACTAATCCAGACTTGGATCACTTGTAGGTATCATAGCTTTGAGAAACCATTAATGTATAGGTATGCTAGCACTCTTCAGCTGCTGAAGTGCAGCCATCTGAAACCTCTGTTTAATGAGTCCATTGGGGTTTTTTTTGTGACAATTGGTTTATTTGTTGGGGTTTTGGTTTTTAAGGCATGTGGAGGAAACATAATTGGTGAGGAACACTGTCAGTTGCTGTCCTCAGTGGAAGAAACGTGGCCAGTCATCATGTTCTGCTTAAATGCCCTCTGTTGGGTGATGATAAAAGCAGTGCTGCTATGCAGCACTTTTCAGCAGCATGCAGTAATAGATTTTGTAAAAGCTGTATTATTAGACATGTTTTCCAGAAAGCAGAAACTGACAGGACTCAGTGTAGTGGCTTGTCCCATGTCACCTTGCCATCCAAAGAGAGATTGGCTCTCTGTGGTTGGTTGTCCTCAGTAAAGGCAGTACTTCTTCCACGTGGAAGGTAACTCTTAGCTTCATATGTTTCTGGTATGTGCTTTTTCATTACAACATCCTTTTCTGAACATTTTAATTAATTTTGAACTTTGATTTCTAGCTCAGGAAGTTTGCTACTGCTGGGCTTTTCTTTTGTTTTTCTTTTTGCCTGAGAGGCTCTGAGCTGGAGGAAGCAAAGCAAACATTAAGTGTGTTCCAGTATTATATGAGAACTCCCTGAAACTCACAAGGCTTTTATTAGTAGGCACAAAATTTATTTCTGCAAGGGTTGCTTTCCGTTCTTGTGACATGTAATTGGCTTGCTGCACTTGGACTGATGCATTAGAAAAGATTCAGAAAACCCTCCAAAATTGCATGTTAACAATTTCTCTGGAATTCAGTGGCACTCAAATTCCACCTGCTGCATTATAGTTAATATGATTAGATGTTGTCAAACTAGGCAAGATTAAAATGTACATTGGGTATCAGTCCTTATATAGTTTGAGTTATAGGTGCTGAAACATTACCTGTAGCAATGTTATTACGTAATTGAAACTTCTGGTTTCTGTAGCTGGCAAAATACCAAAGCAGTCAAATCCTTAGGGCTGATCCTATTGTAGAAGGTTCCTATATATGATAAAATTGCTAACTTTTCAAATAACTTCTCAAACGTTTGGATTTTCTCCAAATATCTTTGCAGTCTTGGTTCTGTCTGCAGGATGGTATGCGATTTCATATAGTAATATGTCATTTGGCTCTATCCTGATGGTTAGTAATCATGTACATACAGTATATAGCACTTTCTCTACATTGAATAAGATTAGAGTGCAGGCATGCTTCCTGCTGTTTTGTTGTTGGGTTTGTTTTTTTTTATTGTTGTTGTTTTGTTTTTATTTGATTTGGTGTTTGCTTTTTGTACAAAAGTTGCTTAGTAACCTCAAGGAAAGACTGATGTCTGTATTAGAACTACTCAATAGGATTTGCTTGAATGTAACATCTCTGTTGCATTCACAGTCTTCTTCAATTTACTTACATACAGAATGGAGATAATGACTTATTGACTTCTCACTGTTGTTTCAGGCTTGATTAGTAGTTGCAAAATGCCGTCATACCTACTGATGGAAGTCAGTCGGCAGGTGCGAAGTAGCCTGGGAATCAGTAACTGCAGTAGTTGGCAGAACTAGAGTTGCCCAACCTTGGATTTAGTAAGGAGTAAGCAACCTATGGCATGGGTGCCAGCAGTGGCTTGTAAGCAGATGCTGAATGTTTGCAGCAGTGCTGCCATAACATTGGGAGCATGGACTTTTGAGAGGTACAGCCTCTGACTCTTGGGAAATGTGAAACTGAGCAGGAAGAGCTGTCTAATGTGGAAGTGAAATGTTGATGAGATGGTTACTGACAACCCTTTCATTGGCCATTTGAAAGGTAGCATTATTTAGCCTCTACTGAATACCTACCAGCATGCTTAGTTTGGGATGAAAAAATGCAAACTGGCACACTGCCCTTCTTAAGTGTACAGCCTTGCTTAGTCCAGGTGCGGGTGGTAGCTGATAGAGCTTCTCCTCCATCAGAAAGGGTTAGTAGATGCTGTGCTTCCAGAGGCAGAGCGCTGTGCTGTGAGTCTGTAAGGGTTTGTAGTTAATGCTATTGATTGCAGCAGTGCAAGGAGCCCCCCAAAAGAGATCACTGTTCTTGTGTGTACACTGAGCAAATAAAAAGTACACAAGAGTCCCTACTGCAGAGCTCACAAAAACTAACAGTGACCTGCAAAGAAATGAGCAAACAAACTAGCAAGTATAGGAAAAACTGATGTAATTTGTTACCTTAGGCTTCCTAAGTAAGGCAGCCTTCTGAGTGTTACTGGTCATAGTGCTGTCTGTAAGATTGCCCAGAATAATGTCCCTGCTTCAGGGTTATCCAAGGTCTGCACTGCAGGCACACAGACGAGATGTTTGCTGCGCATTATTTTACTAGTACATTTTTATATTATTCTTTTTACTTACTTGAAGATAAGGATGTATGCTGACAAGGCTCATGCTGAAGAGTTCTTATTTAGCTCTCTGATCAAAATTTAGGACTGCTGTCTACCGTACAAACTCATTTTGACAGGTATCCAGCTTGAACAGTTCCAGAATCCATTTATCATTGTTGCTTAGAAGCATTTGATGGGTTTGATGCATTTTCAATCACTGCTTACAGCACTCTATAACGTTTTCACAGCACTTGGCTTGGTGGTCCTTTGCTGCATAGGTGTTTTGTGGCTTTTTCATTCTGCTTAAAACACTCTCTCCTTGCAGCAGCTGTGACTTGTGCCCATCTAGGTAAAAAGACAGCATTTTTATTGCTGCTGCAAATCTTTTCTGCACTGGGTGCCTACAGGTACCTAGCAGTACAGCAGCCTCAAAGCCAGAGCGCTGGTTGCAAAGACTCTGTGGGGGCAAAGTGAGACCAATGCCTATTTCCAGCCCCTCTGGTGAGAACTGCTTGGAGCAGAGAAAACCCCCTCTGTCCTCCCCAGCACGTCAAAATCCAGCAGCTAGCTGCTAATTGCCTTTACAGTGATTCACATGCCATCTGCCATTGCTGGGATCTTTTGTCATCTATGGTAGGCTCTAGGCGGTTCCATAAGCTTCATGTGGTTCTTCTGTCAGTGACACCAACTCAATGCAGCATGGTAATAGCAGCGACTCGGCTACATGCAGAAATTAGGTAACTGTTTACGTGTTGTCACCCTTTCTTTTGGCTTTGAGAGGACAGCTTTTACTGGGATAAGGAGGGGGGAAAAAGCAAGAAAGATTATTTCAACTGTGTGCCACTAAGGGTTCCCCCACACTCACAGAAAACAACTCATGGGTGGTGGCAGAGAGCTGTCAAAAATAATAGAAGTGCAAAGGTTTATTATGTATATGTGTATCACACTGCATCCGCAATCTAGGGGTGAGCAGAGGAGAGCGTGACCTGCCTGCATGGTGGCTCGGAGGCAGTGGGAGCCCTGCTTGCTGGTGAGGTGAAGGCGCTGTTGCAAGGTCCTGTTGCAAGTAATGGGATGATTGCATAGGAGTGCTGGTGCCCTGACTGTCAGAAGCGCACAGGAAGGACAGGACTTTTCCCTCCCTTTGCTTCCTTGTGGCTTGAAACAGAAGCTAAGTCTAAGATACTGTTATTTACAAAACTGCGTAACCCTGGGGTCTCTCTGCCCCCAACTCCAAGAGAGCCGTGGGGCTTCCACTTTTGCTTGATCCTGCTTTGTTTTGTTCTTAACTCATTTTTTTTCTTTTTTTCTCCTTTGCCTGCATTTGTAGTTTGATAGTCCTGCTTCTACCATGGCTTTAAATAATTAAATGCTTTATCAGCATTTTCTAGAGCAAGTGGATGATTGCTGAAACACCACCTTGTTTTAAAGTAGCCTCTTCAAAGCAGAGATGCTGCAGAATCTCATCTGCTTGTTCCTTTCCCCCATTCAAGCCTTCTTTGATAATGCTGATACTCATGGTTTATAAGCAGGCAGATAAACCAGTTTAATATGCTAACGTGTTAGATGAGGACATTATCCAGTCAGTCCTTTCAAAGCTGCAAACCGAACACTGTTTTTCCAGGCACCCGGGCAAGGCCATTGGAGGGTGTTGTAGGCTTCAGCAGTGCAGGCTGGCTTGCATGCTGGTGAATAAATTAATCAATCTGGGAGCAAGAAGTCAAAAAGGTTACTGGTAATGCCAGCCTCCTCATTCCCCAGGCAAGCTCTTGGCAGCTGAGCTGGGGGTCAGTGAGTTCACATGGCTTGGACAGGCAATGGCACTACTGTATAATGCTCAGTTCCCTCCGAACCACTGTGGCACTGCTCCTGTGTGCTGCTGCGGGGCTGCCGGTGCAGAAGTTTGTTTCTGGGTTTTATTTGGCTTTGAGGCAAGAGAAAAGCTTTTTTGGCTTGCCTCTTTATTTCTTATTAAGGGTGTGTAATTATCGGAGTCTGGAAAAGCCACCGGGTTTATCCGCCCCGGTTCGCTGGCATTGACAAGGTGATTAGAGCCGTGCCTCGGTCAGCCGGGGGATCCCCCCGGGCAGGTCTCGGCCCACCCGCGGCCTGCGGGGGGAGCGGGCCGCAGCCGGCCGCGGCAGATGAGGCCCGGCCGTTACCATGGCGATGGCTAATGCAGCTGAAGCGCAGCGAAGGGGCAATGCTCCATGGAGGCTGAGTAGGGGGCCAGCAAGACCCTCCTCAGCCGGCCCAGATGGAGCTTACATTTCCTTTCTCTCCCCCCGCGACACCTTCTGCGGTGCTCCTTCCTTATGGGCAGCAGCATCAAGCATCCGAGTCATGGGTGCCTATCCAGCTCTGCCCCTCCAGTTGCCTCCCAAAGGCCAGGGGCACCATATTGATGGCTTCACAATGGCAGAGAGGGGAGGGAGACGGGGGCTTGAGGCTTTCATGAAGGAGTGTGCACCACTTGCCGCTGGGGCTTTAGTGGGTGTCATGGGATTTGTTTGCAGCATATGCGATGCTGTTAATGATTGAAAAATTACCACAACAATTAGTCATGGATCGCTGAAGGCAAGGCCCTGAACACTGTGGACAATATGATTAAATCCATGTATGTGACAATTAACTCTCCTGCAGGCTTATCCACCAAGGAGATGGGAAGAAGGTGGACAAAAAAAAATGACAGGCGAGAATAATGTGGCAGAATGGATCTGATACAGCTGGCACTATCAATTTTAATCTGACAATTAATCACACTTGGATTAATCCTGTTCTTATTGCACCATTCTGGTTGCCTGTTTATTTATACTCTTCTTCCTTTGTGTGCTACATGGAGGCATGACGGATTTAATTCCTGTCCGTTCCATGTTTTTAAATTTAAAAGGCAAATCCTTCAGTCATGCCATGTTGGAGGTAGTCCGTGGCGCAATTATCTCATAAAAAATGAGCAGAGTCCAGATGCACCATGCCATGAATCCCCTTCTGTATCACAGCTGAGTAACTCTCAATAAATATTTGTTCATCCAGTATTCTCACTGGGTAGATCTACTACTGCCTGTCTGTCCAGTCAGCCAGCCATGTACATGCAAGTGATGCTTTGCTCGTGTGCTTATGTTGCCATTAGGTAAAATTTGGTGTGTGTTTGTTGGCCGTGCTCACTATGCCTATGATTTTATTTTGAGGCATCAAAACTCCTTTGCGACGCTTAGGTGTTGTTACTAAGAAGAATCAGACTGGAAATAGAAGAAGGTCTGGTGCAGGAATTGCAGAAGGTTATCTGGTATAAAATTTTTAAGTGATTAAGAATTTTAAAGGAAAAGAAGCACTAATGTTTGTCAGACACTGCTGAAGTCCTCAAAGAGTGTGTATCAGTAGGAAGTCTGCTCAAATTAGCCAACTTCTTATAGCACAGTAGTTTGCTTACTGCAGTGCTGCTTTTCCTGCTTCTTGACAAGTTTCACTGGGGCAGCTTCCCAGAAGTTGTGGCTGCCTGGCAGTATTCAAGGCCAGGTTGGACGAGGCTTGGAGCAACCTGGTCTAGTGGAAGGTGTCCCTACCCATGGCAGGGGGTTGGAACTGGGTAATTTTTAAAGGTCCCTTCCAATCCAAACCATTCTATGATTCACAAATTGGCAAGTGCAGTTTAACAGATTGGAGAAGCCACAGCTTACTTTCACTTGTAGCTACTCCTGACCTATCGTCTCTACCCATCCTTTGTTTCTTGTTTTTATTTGTAATCTCTAAAAAAAAGTGGTTTAACTTTGAACTCACTCAAGAGATGAATCTAGTCATGCTACAAAGATTCAGTTTTACTGTGGCATATTACTACTGTAGTCTGCAATGCTTAACGTAAGTATTCAGATTGCCAGTCTAAGTGTCATAACTTTCTGGTTTTAAAATCCCAGTGAAAACATTGAAGATATTTAACTGTGTTCTTAAACAAGGTGAATTAAAGGCGTAAGTGTTTCCATTCAAGTAACTAGTAAAATCCCTGCTGGTTTAAAATGTCAGGGTTTTTATCCAGAGCCCTCTATTTACGTATCTTGAAAACACAGAATGAAGTATAATTGAGCCATCTTCTTTTAGAGTGATTGTTCTTCTTCTCTTGTTGCCAGAGAATGTAATCTGTACTTCTGCTCTGACCTGTAGGCTTAACCACAAAGAAGTGAACAAGTCCTGTGAAGTCAGTGGGCAATAAAGATATCAATGACCTTACATGTAATTCAGTGCCCAAAGACACCTTGTCTTTTTGTTGACAATGTAGCTTTCAAAAGGTGCTTCAGGGGAGGTACATGAAGCTAGAGGATGTGAATTTTGCTTCTTGCTTCTATTTGTGTGCAAAGGTAGCGCACTGCAGTGGGGATAGAGTGAATGTCCTATTCAATGATCGAATAGTAAGTGAATGTCAAAAGAAACCAGCCCATGCACCTCTAGCATGACAGAAAATCTGAAGTACATTCTAGTCAGTATCTCAATCTCACATTCAGTAGTAATATTGGACATTATAGCCCAAATAGACCTAAATTTGAGTCAGAGCTGCTGCTTTCATTATGTCTTTCAGTCATCCCACATTATATATTTCTGT